ACCCAAACATACACACGCTCGCACACACACATTCAAACACACATACACACACGCGCACAACGCGCGCGCGCGCGCACACACACATAAACACAGTAAACAAGATCAGACGGGGGAGATCAAGGTGAATAAAATATCACACACAAACACTACAAACACATATGCAGATACACTCAAACAAAAACACATTTATAAACACTTACATTTTCACACACACACACACACATGCACAAGGACATACAACACACACACACACACACACACACACACACACACACACAAGTAGCGAACACATAAACATACAACACTTACATACCGACACACACGCACACACAGACATATTCCCACACACAAACTCTCTCTCACACACACACACACAAACTCACACACACTCACGCACACACACACTCACACACGAACAAACAACCAAGATGACTGAATGAATGAAATATTTGAAATAGTTAACAAATTATTAATCGAATGCCACAAATAGTCCAGGACTCCACCAGTTAAACAATAACATTAATCACAACAATAACAACAACAACAACAACAAAAATAATAATAATAAAAGAATAATAACAATAACAAAAGGATTGCAACAACAATAAAAACTATTGTTGTCAACAGTAATAGTAATAGTAGTAGTCGTGGTAGTAGTAGTAGTAGTAGTAGTAGTGGTAGTAGTAGTAGTAGTAGTAGTAGTAGTAGTAGTAGTAGTAGTAGTAGTAGTAGTAGTAGTGATAATGATAATAATAAATACCAAAGTATAATAACAACAATATCAACAACAACAATAATAATAATAACCATAATAAAATAGAAAATAATTGTTTAGAGTAAAATAATTTGATAAGAGATAAATAAGAAAGTCCTAACCAAATATATCATTAGTTTTTTTGCCATGACTGTTAGCCATACTGTATGAGTTGTTGTTGTTGTTAAAGATGATGCTGTTGTTGGTGTTTTTTACATTGCTGTTGTTAATGACGATGTTATTGTTGATGATGTTACTTACATTGCTGTTGTTGTTGTTATTTACATAGTTGTTGTTGTTGTGGTTGTGGTTGTTGTTTACATTGTTTTCGAAGTTGTTGTTGTTGTTGTTATTAATGTTATCTTCATAGTTGTAGCTAGTGTCGTTGCTGCTGCTGTTGTTACAGTAATCAACGTTTGTCAAGAATGGAACCAGCACATGCCATGGATAGATTGTTGTTGTTGTTGTGGTTGTTGTCGACGTAGTTGGTGCTGCTGCAGTTACTGTTGTTGTTGCAAAAATCGTTGCTGTCGTTGTAGTTGCTGCTGTCGCTTCCGCCGCTGCTGCTGCTGTCGACATCAAATCTATCACGTGAATAGATTAAAACTAGTATGAATAGAGAAAAAAAAACA